CTTGGGCCAGTGAAGCAACGTCCTCCACAACTAGACTGAAGAACAAAACGACAGCAACTTGTCTGTTCCCCTTCCTCCAATTCCCCAGCACTGTTCCTATCCCCCCAATTCCCCAATAAAAAATCTTTTAAAAAAATAAAAAATAAAAAAATAAATATTTAACATATTTTAGCTACTTTAAAGTTCTTATTCCCTATTTTCACCCTCCCTACTTATTTCTGAGTTCATAATTTTTTCTTCTGGTGAAGAGTCACATTTTCCAATTCTTATGTCTAATAAGACGTAAGATGCTACTTTGATTTTTGTTGTCTTAATAAAGTATTGAGTATTGTTCAAGTAGTCAGTTAATTTACTTGCATCTTAGTGTGATACTTTCAAGGTTTGCTTTAAAGCTTTTATAAGACAGAACTAGAATAGCCTTTACACTCGGGCACCACTGTCCAGTATGAAATCCACTAGCCATGGATGGCTATTAAGCACTTGAAATGTGACTAATCCAAATTGAAGTGTGCTATGAGTGAAAAGTTAACACTGAATTTCAGACTTAGTATGAAAAAGGGGTAGTAAAACATCTCATTAATAATATTTTATGTTGGTTACATGTTGAAATGATAATATTTTGGACATACTTGGTTAAATGAAATGTTTTATTAACATTAATTTTATCTGTTGATTTTTACTTTCTTCAAGAGGTTACTAGAAAATTTTAAGTTACATTTGTGATATGTTATATTTCTCTTGAATAGTATGGCTGTAGTGCTAGATTAGCCCTATTCCTAAAACCCAGCCATTCTGGGGTGTCTACTAAATTCCTGGGGTAGTTAATGAGATTTCTCCATTGTGGCTGGTTGGGACACCAGTACCCTATTCCTGTGCAATCTCTGGCCATTGGTCAGCCTCTAGCTCCCTGGTAGTTGTTCTCTCCCTAATAATTATTCTTTGCTTAGTTTTGTGGAGTCCTTCCCTGTGCTGACTTCTCTGTGCAGCTTGCTTCTCCCTGACATTTGATCTTCATCTCCTCAGCTCAGTGACACCACCATGCTTTGTGTGGCCCTACCCCGTGCTGTGGTCTGGAAAGTGCCTCCACGCAAAAAGCTGTGGTGATCATGAAGCTTGTTCATTTGTTTTTCTCCTATTAAGGATCACAGTTCTATATTTTTCTATTGACCAAGGTCTAAAAGTAGTTATTTTAATTATTTTTCCTATTTGATAATTTCATTTGTGGAAGGTCTTATGTCCAATATCAGTTACTATATTATGATTGAAAATGAAAGTCCTTATCATGACCTTTTACTTCATGTTGCAGGTTTTCTTTAAATGTCTGATGGGCATTTCCCAGTTCATCTTTTAAAATGACACAGTAGAAAAACTGACTGGGATCTCTGTGTTTGTGGGCAGGACTTTGTGAACTGGGAAGTTTTGCTTTAATGTGAATGGATGAAAAGCAAACTATACACATTGGATCCCTGTAATAGACACTGTTGGATACATACCCAGAATTCATTTTTAGTTTTTCCCTTGCTAATATAGCCCTGCCTGCGTAACCTGGTGCCTAACCAGGTGAGTCTATCCTTAACTCAAGGGTACATCCTGATTGGGCTAACCTAATGTATTAATACAATTCCAATCCCTCTTCCCAGTGGTTTCATTAGGCACAGACGTGTTGCAATTTTGATCAATGAGACATGAAGAGAAACCATTGAGAACTTCTGGAAAAGGTATACTAAATCTTAAAAAACAGACTAAAGAAAATATGGTCCTTTTTCTTCTTTTAGAGGCTGGTAATGATTACTGGGAATGAAATCTGAAGAACACAGAAGGATGAAAAGGTACTGTGCCCTTGATGATATTATTCAGCCACTGAATCGGAAACCCTAGGCTAGTCACTCTTCCTCCAAACATGTAAGATATCATGTCTCTGTATTGTTCAAACAGAGATTGCTGATACAAATTCCAGAAGGTAGAGCACCAGGTGCCCAGTTGTCTGTCTTGATCTAGAAATTGTAAGTTTACCTTTCCAGTGAGTGAGGATGACTGAGATAAAAGACATGAATAGAATCAGCTGCTTTTGCGGTTCTGAATGGAACACCAGTATAGAGTTATTTTGGGGTGAGAACCAATAGATCTCTAATATTCTTTGGATCTGAAAATAGCAGTTGGTGGGACGTAGACAGGTACTTTTTAAGGCACTCAGATATTTTCAAGGACCTGATCTCTGGAAGTTGACATTTCTAAATTGGCATGGGTAGAAGCTGGAACTAGCTGAGGCTCTTGGGTACACCTGGAAAAAAAAAATTTACATGCCATAAAACTCATTATTTTAAAGTGTACAATTCTGTGGGTTTTAGTAATTATAAGTGTATAACCACCATCACTAGCTAATTATAGAACACTTTCCATTCATCAGTTGATAGACATATATGAGTTGTTTCTACTTTTTGACTATTATGAATAGTGCTATGAACTTTCTGTACAAGTTTTGTTGTGGATATGTTTTATTTCTCTTTGGCGTTATCTATGAATACAATTGCTAAGTCATATGGCAACCTAATGTTTAACTTTTTGATGAATTACCAGACTTTTTTTCTAATTAAAAATTTTTTTTCAATTACAGTTGACAGTCAATATTATATTATTTGCAGGTGTACAGCATAGTGGTTAGACATTTATATAACTTATGAAGTTATCCCTCTGGTAAGCCTAGTACCCACCTGACACCATTTATAGTTATCACAATATTATTGACTATATTCCCTATGCTGTACTTTACATCCTCATGACTATTTTGTACCTACCAATTTGTACTTCTTAATTCCTTACCCTTTCTCCCTAATCCCCCTCCCATCTGGCAACCATTGGTTTGTTATTTTTATTCAATTGTTTCTCTTTTGTTTGTTCCTTTGTTTTTTTAGATTCCACATATAAGTGAGATCATATGGTATTTATCTTTCACTCTCTGACTTATTTTACTTAGCATAATACCCTCTAGGTCCATCCATGTTATTGCAAATGGTAAGATTTCATTCTTTTTTATAGCTGAGTAATATTCCCTTGTATATATCTACCACATCTTCTTTGTCCAGTTGTCTATCAATGGACACTTAGGTTACTTCCGTATCTTGGCTATTGTAAATAATTCTGCAATGAATGTAGGATGCATATATCTTTTCAAATTATTGTTTTACCACCAGACTGTTTTCAATAGCAGCTCTGCCATTTTACAGTCCTACCAGCAGGGCATGAAGTTTCTTCATATCCTTGTCAACACTTATTATTGTCTGTTCTTTTTTTACTATAGCCATCTTGGTGTGAAGTAGTATCTCATCATAGTTTTGATTGGTGTTTATCTAATGACTAGTGACGTTGAGCATTTTTTCATGTGTTACTGTCCATTTGAATATATTCTTTGGAGAAATGTCTATCCAAATCCTTTGCCCATTTTAAATTGAGTTATTTTTACTGTTGAGTTGAAGAGTTCTTTATATATTCTGAATATTAGGCCCTTATTACATATATGATTTGCAAATATTTTTCCAATTCTATGATACATTTGCAGTTAATTTTTTTGTATATGGTATGATGTAAGGGTTCAACTTCATTCTTTTGCATGTGGATAACTAGTTGATCCATAACCACATATTGAAAAGACTATTCTTTCTTCCATTGAATTGTCTTGGCACCCTTGTCAAAAATTAATTGACCAAAAATATGAGGGTTTTTTTTGTGGGGTTTTTTTCAGGACTGTTTTGGTTATTCTGGATCCTTGATTTTCCATGTGAATTTTAGAAATTTTAGCTTGTTATTCTGCAAAAAGGACCATTGGAATTTTGACAGAGATTGCAATGAATCTGTAGATCAATTTGTGGAGTATTGCCATCTTAACAATATTAAATCTTCCAATCATAAATACAGGATATCTTTCCATTTATTTAAGTCTTCTTTAATTTCTTTCAATAGTGTTCTGTAATTTTCAGTGTTACAAGTCTTGTACTTCTTTAGTTTAATTTATTCTTAAGTATTTTATTCTTTTTGATGCTATTGTCAATAAAGTTTCCTAAATTTTGCTTTTAGATTGTTTATTACAGGTATATAGAGATAAACTGATTTTTCTGTATTGATCTTAAATCTTGCAACCTTGCTGACTTTTTATATTATCTGTAATAAATTCTTCATGAATTCCTTAGGGTTTTCACATGCAAGATCATTTCATGTACGAATAGTTTTACTTCTTCCTATCCAAATGGGATGCTCTTTCTTCTTCTTCTTTTTTTTAATTTCTCCCCTAATTGCCATTGCAAGAATTTCCAGTACAATATTGAATAGAAGTGGTGAGAATGGACACCTTGTCCTTTTATTGATCCTGATTTTAGGGGGAAAGCTTTCAGTCTTTCACCATTAAATGTGTTTGCTGTGGGGATTTTTTGCAGATGCCCTTTATGAAATTGAGGAAGCTCACTTCTATTCCTAGTTTGTTGAATATTTTTATCATAATAGGGTGTTGGATTTAGCCAAATACTTTTTGTGTTTCTATAAGGATGATCCCGTGGTTTCTTGTCCTTTATTCTGTTGATATGGTTGTTACATTGATAGATTTTTGGATGTTAAACCAACCTTGCATTCTGGCATAAATCCCACTTGGATATAGTATATATGCTTTTTATATGATGCTGGATTTGGTTTGCTAGTATTTTATTAAGGATATTTGAGCGGATACTCATAAGGGATATTGGCTGAGGTTTTCTTTTTTGTGACGCCTTTGGTTTTTGTATCAGGGTAATAATGCTGGTCTCACAGACTGAGTTGGGAAGATTTTCCTCTTCTATTATTTTTGGAAGAATCTAGGGTACTCTTATTGCTTGCAGATGCCTTTTATGATATTAAGAGTTCAAGCTTTCCTTTTTTCCTTTTGCTGTAGACCAAGACTAGAACTGTTTGAAGTTCTTTGATATTCTCAGGATCATCCCTTTACTTCCTTCTTCTTGCCATACTACGTCCTGATTTTGTCAGTGTCTGCTTTCTATATTTCAAGGTGATAATGACCTCATTTGAAATACTTTGCATTTATTTATTTTAGCTATTTGTTCTCTCCTCTCTAGGAAACATACATAGTCTGTTGTATCACAATTTGTGTTTCTATAATGCAAACAAGCTAATGATTATTATGTAAGGGAATGATGTCACTATACCATGGAAGTTACCATCCTCAGTTTTTTATATTTGATGTTTCTAGTGAAAGGGGAGCCACAGTAGAGGTAATATAATTATAGCATTTATTAAGACAGAAGAAAAACCTTCGGTTCAGCTGCTGCATAGGCAACAACTCTTTCAACACTTTAAAAACCCTCAAAAACTTAAAAAATGAGCACTAGTACCCAGGGATCCCATCCCAGAAAGGCATACCCCCAGACTTACAGTTCTCAGATTCTGGCATGTTTCACTTTTTCTATGCCCACCTTAAAAGTCAGCCCCACTGGTGAGGAGCTCTACTTCATCCACATTATTTTAGTACCTATAAGTTTGCATTTCTACTCTGTTGTTTTTAAAAAGTATCCCCTGAAGCATCCCTGGACATAAGTGCCTGCCTAGACTGTTTAAGTTACTCCTGAAGTACCAATTATTGTTTTTCTTTTGTACAATGGTTCCAAAGTAGCATAAATTTTAAGTGGTGTGCTCTCACCCTATTTTTCCCTTGAGCCCTATTATTTTTAGTGCACAATTTTGCAGGGCATGAGGATTTTCACAAATGTATATACTCATATCACATTACAGCATTAATCCTGTATTTACATTTTAACCAGGGATTTTGGAGATATTGGATTTACTCTGTGGGGAGGGATAAACTTTCCTCTACCCTCAAGGTTCTTTTGGCTGGTCTAATAATCAAATAGATCTGAGACAGGTTAGCAAGAGAAAATAACCAAATTTAATACATATGTATGTAAGGGGCTCCTGCATATGTGAGAGAGTCAGAGACCCCACATGCACGAGACGTTCAGAGATAGAAAGGGAACATGGGCAGAGAGATGAGGTAAGGTGCCTTTGGGGCTTCACAGGGTCATTGCAGGATGATAAGAAGATGCTTAGTGAATGGAAGTTTGTATTGCCCTATAGATAGGTAAAAAGGGGTTATCTCTTATAATCTCTTTTTATGGGCAAAGCCCCTAATTCAGGTTCTTCTAGGTAGTTAAGGGGTGGGAGCAGAAGTTTCTCTTGAGCCTAGGCTGAAGTCTTTAGTTCAAAGCAATCTATATACCACAGAAGCACATCTTGGGATAACTTGTTCTGAACCCCCATAACTCAAAATGGAATTTTTAGCAACAGTGGCAGGACAATGAGATAGAAATGTTTATATAAAAAGGAGTTTTTGATGTCCTTCAAATATCATTTTAAATAGATTTTCTTCTTTTTAAGGAAGGGCTAGTGAAGTCTGAGCCTTGGGAAATTTCATTTATTAATAGTAAATTATATTAATACATTAATATAATTATTGATATCATTAGCTGCTAGCTAATGATGCTCAGTCCTCTGCGTATCCCATCCTTTGATAGTGTTGCTGCTGCCCAGTTGTCTATTGTGTGCTCATCTTCTTCATTACAAACCCATGAGGCCAATTAGATTTAGTTAGCCAGCCCCAGACTTCCCCATCAGTTACAGTCGTGTGATTTTCACAACCTGCTTTATAAAATCTGTCCCCTGGGTCAGTAGTTCCCAAACTTGACATTCATCAGAATTACCTGGAGGGCTTGTTCAACCACAGGTTCCTGGATGCCATGTCTGGAGATTCTAACACATTATGATACATTAGGTCTGAGTGAGGATTTGCATTTCTAACAAGGTCTTAGGTGATGCTGATGCTGCTGGTCCAGTGACCACATTTTCAGTGTCATTGCTCTAATGTCAGTTCCAGTAGCAGTATCACTCATCCTCACCAGCATTCCTTCCCTATCAAACCTTTTTGTTTGTTTGTTTGCCTATTGCATCAACACAGTCATTCTCAGTTGGGGGCAATTTTGATCCCCAGGAGACATTTGGCAATGTCAAGAGACACTTTTTGTTGTCATAACTGGGTAGGAAGGCATGCTACTGGCATTTGGAAGGTAGAGGCCAGAGACGCTGCTAAACATCCCACAATGCACAAGACAGCTCCTTTTCCACAAAGAATTATCTGGACCAAAATGTCAATAGCACCAAGGTTGAGAAACCTTGACATGACACTGCTTTATTTCCAATAGCATGAAATATTTCTGATTATATCTATGTCCAGTCAATAGCCTATAAAGTGAAGATAAAGAAGTAGTTGTGTACCCGCCCCCCCCATTTTTTTTTTACAATTTATTGAAAATAAAATATCTAAACTTTAAAACCATCGAGTGCTTTGAAGTAACACTCACAGACATAACTTGTCTTCAGATTTCCAACTACTTCTTAGATCTCATGGAGGAATGGAAGACTTTACGGAAGCTAAACCTTTGGACATTGGGCCTATTTCTTTGAGCAGGTAATAATATAGCTCAGTCTCATAAATTGTAATTTATTATTTTTTAAAATTCACTTTAACCAGTATTTTTTTCGACATTTTATACAGAAAGTTTTCTTTCACTTTAGATGAAACCAAAAAGAAAAAAATGGGAAAAGAGAGAATGGGAAGCCCATTTCCCCTATTTGAGACACACCTTAGGAGCTAAGTATAGGTAAAACATTTAACTTTACATTTTCAAAGACTTATAAGGTGCTCAGGACCAATTGTTTCCTATTCCCCACCCCTCGAAAAACTACATGAGGGAATTACCCCTTCAAAGCTGACCATGAAATCAATCAGAGAACTTTATTTTAGCCAGATCAGTGGTAATTTAAGCATAATTGATGAAATTGTCCATCCTGGTTTCTTTGCTATTCCACAACAAACCCAGCCCCACTCTTGCCTTAGGGAGTTTGCACTACATATTCCTTTTGCTTTCTGCATTGCTTACATCCTGCTTCCTTTAGGTTTTTGTTTAAGCATCTATCATCTTTGTGGTGAGAATTTTCTTGATTACCCTATTTCAAATTTCTATGCTGTCCCCACCTTGACGATCTCTATCCCCCTTCCTGTTTTCTGTTGTACCTATCACTTTCTAACCCTGTAAATGATATCCTGTTTATTTGTTTGCCCTCTCTCTCTTCTGAGAGTATCATGTCTACAGGGGAGGATTTTTAATCTACTTGATCACTTCTCTACCTTCAGTCCCAAGAACAGTGCTTGGCACATAGGATGTGCTTAATAGAGATTTGTGATTAACAGCCATAGAATTGTGCCAAGCCCACAAAGATGAATGAAATAATGGAACTAGTCATTTCTCAACATTTTTACCCTCTAGTTACTACTATTTCTTAACTTGTAAAGTGGACATTAAATTACCCCAACCTGTCTTAAAACATATATCACAAAGCTGCAAAAACTTAAAAATTATCAATTATACTAGTGATTCTCAAGCTGGGGTGATTTTACCCAACCTGGGACATTTAGCAATTTCTGGAGACACTTTTGGTTGTCACAACTAGGGCATATGGTGCTATTGTCATCTAGTGTGTAGAGACCAGGGACGCTGCTAAACATCATACAATACACGGGACAGCCCCCCATAACACAGAATTATCTGGTCTGAAATATCAACAGTGCCTGGCTGAGAAACCCTGGTATACACTAATCTGTATGTTTTTTTGATCCTGTTACAATTTTTCTCAAGACCACTGCAAGTTCCTGCTATTTTCAGAAGTCCATTGTGTTTTCATTTTTAACTCTCTTGTAAAGCAATTCAGCATAACATGGTCATTTTGTATCCACAATTCTTGGCAAATGAGTTCAGATTGTCATATGAGTGATAAGTAGTCTGTTTATCATAGAACTTCAGGGGTTTATTGGCCTCCCAGCTTTTTCATTTGATGTATTCCTCAAGGTATGTCTTAAGCGTTGCTTCTGTCCACTTTGCTTGGAAACACCCCATTTATTCCACCAGCAATCCTGTTGCTGCTATTATACCAATAATAAAATCCACCTGCAAGCCTTTCTGTGATTTTCTATTCTGCCCTCCCTCTGACCTCCTTACATACCCCTCCATGTCACTCACGGCTCCCGCGTCATTATGGCCGCTGTGTTCCTTTAATAACCAAGCTCATTCCTGCTTTAGGTTTTTTGCATTTGCTGTGCACACTGCTTTGAATGTTTTTCTGCCATATTATTTTATGGCTCTTCCTTATCATTCGAGTCTCAACTGAAATGTTACCTCTTCAGAAATGGCCATCGCTGATCTCCCAAATTCAAAGAAGCCAGTTCATCATTACAGTTATCACCATTTGCTATTTTCTTCTTTCCCTTCACTCTCTGTTTTCTCCCTTCATTCTTTTCTTCCTGTCTTTCCCCAACTAGAATATAAGATCCATGAGGACAGATGTCTGCCCTCTTCACCATGTCTCCCCAGCACCTAGAGCTGGGTCTGATGAATATTTATTGAATGGATGAATCACTTCTTCACATATGCTATGCCTAGAGAAGTGGGGCTACTTTAAGACTGGGCCAGGTGCCAAGGCCTCCATTGTTGGTTCTCTAGTTAAGATTGTTAAGTGTGGTTTTGAACTGGACATTTTTTTCATTCCATTATTTGAGCTTCTGTCTGAAAAGTAAATTAGACATATAAATATTATTGTTTTAAATGCACATTAAATTTGTTAACCTTTTTAACAGCCCTCTGAAGGAGGTATAATTATAATTATTAACCCCATTTTACATATGATAAAACTGAGGCAGTTAATAAATGTTAGGTGTTACTATTATTAGAAGTACAGTCTTTATCATTTTATTTGAGTAATACATAAATTTGACAGTTATGAATGCATATTTAAGGATGTTACAAAGAAAATACAATGAAATAGAGATAACAATACTGCCTCATAGGATATGTTTTAAAGTCTGGTGAAATGAGATTTATGAGAGCAACTTTGAAAGCTTATTATAAACGGATATTGAAATTTATGAGTTGTTATTATAATGATATATTTAAGGTTTTCAAAAATGAGTCTGCTACCTTTTAAATATCAATGTGAAAATATAATCAGTGCCCAAAGATCAAAGATTTAAGATCTACATTTAGAAATCTTATGCCAATTCAAATACCTTTTGATCTAAAAAAAGTTCCCTTTTATTTCACATTAAAGCCTGTGTTGGGAAACCAGTGTTATTTTTCAAACTATGCTAATGGAACCATCATTTAGAAGAAAAATGCAAGTGGCTCTTTAGTGCTGTGTACCATATTATAAAAACTTTATTCATGTAAAACTCCATTGGGTGTTGACATGTTTTACCAGATTGACTTGGTGAAAGAAAACTCTTTGAAATTGTAATGACTAGGGCAGCTGCCTTATTAATAGAAACCTTTGAGCAACTGGTTTGGAGGAGAACATTTCAGAGGGCAGCTCATTTCAAGTTCTTTTGTTCATGCCTCTGAGAGTGCAGTGAAATAAGTTTTGGTTTCTTATGTGATAGATATTTGTTGAATGAATGAAGATGGTGGCCAGGTTACAGATTTTAAGCTCCTGAAAAAGGAAGTACTGTGTCTTCTTCTCTTTGTATTCCAGGTAACACAGCGCCCACACAATGTTTGCTTGATTATCCTCTTAGATTTTATTATGTCACCTATCTAGAGGCTTCATGATTCCTTTGAGGCTACTTAATAAAATATGTGCTTAGGATGTAAAAGTTCTATATTCAACTCTTGGTTTCTGTCTTGAAAAAGAATCACATCTGAGCAAGGCTTGAACCCACTAAATTCTGCCACCTGGACCTAACTAGCTTTCTTTATTCTAATATTTGTTGAGCAACTATGTGCTAGAGAAACAGCAGTGAACAAAATAAAATCTCTATTTCATGGAGCTTTCACTGGAGCAAAAGGAATATATGAAAGCCAAATAAACAAGTAAATACCTAGACTATCAACTAGTAATATGTGCCTTGGAGAAAACAAAACAGATTTAAGGGGTTGGGAATGATGCTATTTTATATATTCCTACAGTGATATTTGAGCAGAAACTTGGAAAATGTGAGGGAATATATTGGGTTGTCGGAAAAGTCATGACGCATTTTTGCAACGAAAAACAGAAAAAATATGTCATGACTTTTCCGACAGCCCAATAGTATGTAAAGGTGGGAAACATCCTTGGTATGTTTGAGGACAGCAAAAGGGCCAGTGTGGCTGAAGCAGAATGAATTGGGATAAGACCATAATAAGAGGAAAGGGAGAGGGTCAGATCATGAAAGACCTTGGAAGCCACTGTCATACAGGCTTTTACAATGAGTGAGATGGGAAGCCATTGGAGAGTCTGAGCAGAGAAGGGTTAAATGACCCTAGACATGATTAAATGACCTGGCTTCTGTGTTGAGATTCCATTTTAAAGAGTGGGGGAAAAAAGCAGAAAAAAGACCAGGTAAGAGGCTGTCTCTAGTAATAATCTAGGTGAGGGATGATGGTAGATCAGCCAAGTATGATAGTTGTGAAAGAGGGGTAAAGGGGTTGGATTCTGGATATAGTTTAAGATAGAGATGACTGGATTTAATTTGGAATGTATGTGAGAAAGAGGAGTCAAAGATAACTTCAGAGCCTTTGTCCTGAGCAGTTGGAAGAATGGAGTTGCTATTTATTTAAATAAATAAAAACTAAGGGAAGAGCAGGTTTGGTGGAAAAAATCAGGAGGTCAGTTTTGGACATGTTTGGTAAGTTGAATTTGAGATGCCTATTAGCTATGTTATATAGGAAGTTGGACATACAAGCCTGGAGGTCAGGTGAGAGTTCAGAGCTGGAAGTATATATTTATGAGTCGTCAGGGTCTAAATGGTTTTAAAGCCAATCAATTGGGTAAGATCACCTAGGGAGTATAGATAGAGAGGAGAAAAGAGATGTGAGAGGGAAAAATTGACTCAGAAATGAAGAGAAACCAGAAAAGAGTCGGAGAAGGATAGCTAGTGAGGCAGGAAATCCAACAAAATGTGTTATCTGGAAAACCAAATGAAGAAAGTGTTTCAAGTGTTCAAATTATGTCAAATGCTGCATGGGATGGGGGTTGTGTGAGTTGAGGGCTGAATAGTGACCATTGGATTTAGCATTATAAAGGATTTGGGTGACTTTAAAAGAGGTTTATCTGTGGAGTGATGGGTACAAATAAAGTGGGTTGAATAAAGAATGGGAGCAAGTATCAACAACTTTCAAAGACTTTTGCTATATACCACTTCACAACCATTAGGATGGCTATTATAAAAAACAAAATAAAAAAAACAGAAGATAACAATTGTTAGCAAGAATGTGGAGAAATTAAACCCTTGTGCATTGCTGATGGAACTGTAAAATGGTGCAGTAGCTGTAGAAAACGGTATGGCAATTTCTCAAAAAATTAAACATAGAAATTTCATATGATCCAGCAATTCCACTTCTGTGTATATACACAAAAGAAGTGAAACAGGGACTTGAACAGGTATTGTACACCCATGTTCACAGCAGCATTATTCACAATTGCCAAAAGGTAGAAGCAACCCAAGTGTCCACTGACAGTGAGTAGATAAACAACATATACATACATACAATGGAATGTTATTCAGCCTTAAAAAGGAAGCAAATTCTGACACATACTACAACAATGATGGACCTTAAAGACATTATGCTAAGTGAAATAAGGTGGTCACAAATGAAGAAATACTGTCTGATTCCTCTTATATGAAGTTCATAGAGTAGTCAAATTTATAGAGACAGAACGTAGAATGGTGGTTGCCAGGGGCTGTGGGGAAAAGGGTAAAGAGGAAGTAAAATTTCTCCTCAACCCTCATAACGTCTCTGGCTGGGACCGACATAAGACAGATCAATAGGAAAAAAAATACAGATTTTATCCAGTAATTTCTACATGTATGTAGACCCACACAGTGAAGACCCAAAGAAGTAGTTATAGCCCAATGCTTATATACTAGGTTGGACAAAGAGTAATAAACTATGAAAATGTGATCAAACAAAGGGTTTGGTTTAGGGCAGTTAATCATGGAGAATCAACTACAAAGATAAGGGTTAGTTTAACAAAGTGTGTTTGTACAGATTTCTCTTGGCCTCAATCCCCTCTCTCTGGTGATAAGAATGTTTCTTCTCCCTGATACAGGAAGGACATGTTTCACATGGGAGTTTTATCTCCTGCTTTCAGGAAGAAAAAGGAAGGTCAGAATGCCCTTTGTGCATCTGCTGTTTTTCAAGTGCCTTTAACTCAAAATCATATGCCAAAGCGGCACATTTGGGGATGGTGTGCTCTGAACCCCTCACAGGGAGAATTGGGAATTAGTGTTTAATGGTTACAGAGTTTCATTTGGTGAAGATGAGAAGTTCTGAAGATGGGTGGTGGTAATGATTGCACAACAAGGTGGATATACTTAATTCTATAGAACTGTATATCTTAAAATGGTTAAAATGATGAATTTTATACTATGTCTATGTTATCACAATTAAAAAAGAGTTTCACTACAAAGGGGGCAGATAAATGGGATAGTAGTTGGCAGGGCACATTCACCTCTGTATCAGTTCTAAAAGTCTATGGAGGAAAGCACTGAAGAAATTTATAAAAGGACGTTGCTAGCAATACCTTATAAGGGAGAGTGCTGAAGCCACACCTCCCTTTTGTCTCTACATTCCAGATTCAAGCCCTGTGCATTTAAGGGCCCAGAGATGGCTGTGGTCAAAGACAAAAGTAATTACCAGGGATATGAACTCAGGTCAACCAAAATGTCTGTGGGACTGGGAAGGACCTGGGGGTGCCATATCACTCATTAATTTCTAATTGTTTTAAAAAATTCTCTTAGGAAGTAAGATACTTAAATGACACTTGATCAGCAGCATATTCTCTCTCCTGGTATGTTAGGCACATGGTTGGCCAAATCTTAATTGTAATCACTTTTGTAGTAGAGTTAAAACGTTAAGAATTCAGAGGTTCATAGCAAAGCTGAACAACTTTGCCACGAGAGAGTGCCCAAACTCTCCCTCTCAGGATAGTAGTGGCCACGGAGTGTTTTCTTTTATAAAAAGTCCGTATTAGTATAGATATTAGTGTGAAATATTAGCATAGATGTAGCATACTCTATTTCTTTAGACATCTTTATACGATTGCCCTACTCACAGCATTAATTGATATAATGAGAAGAGAAACCAACTTAAATGTTAGTGGGCAGCTGCGACTCACCTGCAGTTCATTTCTATTGGAATAGAATATGCATTTCTATTGGAATAGAATATGGAATAGGAAGCAGCCCCAAAGTGGACAGTTCTTCCCATTTTTTAAGGCAAACCTAATACTGCTTGTCCTCACATACTGGCAACTAATCCAAACATTTTTAAATGCCATGTACACTTTACTAGACAAGCCAAACAAAATATGTCTCTGGATCGTGCCCTATGGCTACTGGTTGCTGAACTCTGGCCTAGAGTTACTCAGTTTACAGGATTTGCAGAAATTTGTCCACTGTCACAAAAAAGTATTGTTTAGCCTAGCGTTTTTCTGAACTCATTTGAAAACCTTAGTCCATTTTTCATATTTAGCAACATTCCAGAAAAATGCCAAGGAAACTGAAGAGGCCCGGATCAGTGCCTCTCACTAAGATACTGAGTGTTTTTTTAAACTTAATTTTGTTGAAAGTGAGATTCTTACCCTATAAATAAATATAACATTTAGTCCAATGTCAACCACCTAGTATTAAAATTTTTAGACTAACCACAGTTATTATTTAATAAATAACTGATAGTTTTGCATTTACATACATAAAATACTATGAGAGGTAATGTAATACCTATTTAATAGAGTTATTGTGAGAGTTGGATAAAGTAGTGTATGTGAAAGTATTTTGTAACTATAAGTGATAAATACATTTACAGTGTCATAATAGTTAACAAAGATTATTAAAATAAGATCTGTCTTCTAAAAATCAGTGAGTATATAAAATATACATATATACAATCTATACGTGTGTGTTTCTATGTGTATTTTCTCTTCAGCTGTGCCTAATATGCTATTAACCCCATCCACCCATGAGTTCTTAATTGGTTATTATATTTTTCAGCTTTATTTCTATCTGATTCTTTTTTTATATGTGCTCTAGTGTGTGTGTGTAGTTTCCTCTTCTTTGCAAAAATTCTTAATTTCCTTGGATATAGTGAGCAGAATAATTTGAAACTCTCTATCTCCCTATGTTTATGTTTCTATCACTTGCTGTTTCTGGTGGTTCCCACTGATGTTCTCTTGAGGCTTTGTGAATCTAATTTTTTTTAATTGTATCAGACATTGTATTTGAAAAATAGTTTTTAAAAAGAATTTGAGGTGTAAAATGACTATCTATCACGGGAGGAGATTGACGTACATTTGTTTCTATCATAGACTTGGGAACAGCAACACTTGGGATCACCTTAATTCCATTTCAGGAAGTGAGATAATTTGAAGCTGTGTTCCAATGTACTGGTATAGGTCTACTTATATAAGGATAATCCTTAATCCTGGCTTGCAGCCTTTTTGGGCCTTAACCAGTAACCTTACTTTAGAAAATGCTGGATTCTGAATTTTGAAACCTTATCCCCCAGAAAGCTATCAAAAACCCTGATCAGTCGCTAAGCCTCTCAGATGCCTCTTGTAGAATTGGTAAGTTCCCCCTCCAGCCTCTCACACCCCGCAAGAGTGGGGGGAGTATGGGGTTTACCTCTTTGGATTTATGTCTTCTCCCAGATAATCACAGCAACTCCTGATAGGAGTGTGTTGGGCAGGCGAGGGAACATAGAAGGTGTTTGTAGACTAACCTAAGAAATTCAGGGAAAGCTTTCTGCAAGAAATTATCTGTCTTGTCTTATAATTAAACCAATGAAAAAATAACATACACACGTATTGGTTTTTATCTGCTGTATATAAACACGATAAATGTTTATTGTAGAAAAGTTAGAAACATATACAGTATATAAAGAGAAAATAAAAAATGATTTATATAATCCCACAATCAATTTACCTTTTGGTGGGCATTTGCTTAGTCTTTTCACTACCAGATAAATGATATGTACACTAAATATTTGAGATAATCCCACATATACAATTGTATATACTTTTTATATGATATTGTAACATAAGCATTTTCCTGAATTATTAAGAGCAATTTCCAAACAATTTTTTATGGCTACACATTGTATGGGTATGACATTATTTACTTATCTATATTCCTATGAGCCCTTAGGTTCTTTTCATTTTTTACTAATATCAAAAAATAGGGGTGACCGGTTAGCTCAGTTGGTTAGAGCGTGGTGGTGATAGTGCCAAGGTTGCCGGTTCGATCCCCACATGGGCCAGTGTGAGCTGCACCCTCCTTAAAAGAGTCAATTGTAGCATGAAAGCAATGTGTTACCAATCAGTGAGTATGGCTGTTCCCAATTAAAAAAATAATAATGTTGCAGTTAGCAATTTTATACATAGATATTATACATCTTTTAATTATATTTTAAGATGGATTTCTAGAAGTAAATTACTAGGTTAAAGAGTATTAAATATCTTTAAGACTCTCATATGTTTTTTATAGTCATACAAGGAGTACAGAATCTAACGAGCTGGAGGAGGAAGCAAGACTACCTACAGTAGCTGTATCTGAGGAGAAATATGAGTTCCACTCATTTGGCATCTCACAAACTCCTGTTGTTTCCAAATTTTCCAATAAACTTAAATTCTCCAAAATATACCTGCAAAAGAGCCTATTTGAAGAATACAAATTCACTGCTGCTGAAATACTCTATGAACTTGATGAGACATTGCAGAAATACGCTGGGTATAACATTACTTTCCCTGTGGGAATTGCAAATCTTGTGAATTACAGTTGGCATGATCTTATTGAAGGAGCTTATAAATGTGCAACCAAAAACTTAATGTTGAAGGAACACAATGCCTTGCAAAGCAATTGCAATTCCAAGACCATAGTTGGCAAAATCAGCAGCTGTTCAAGAGAAGAGTATGATAAGGAGAATCATCTGGTGAAAGCGAAAAAAGACCATCACCATGTTGCGTCAAGTGAATCTATGGAAAAAACATGTAAGTAGAAATTACTAGTTTTATAAATAATTATCCAGGTTAAAAAATAAATAAAAGCAGCAGATAAGTAAGATATTGACAAAACATCATATTGTGATAATTTGGTTTGTGCTAATCATGTTTATTTTTAAATTTTGTATTTTTTTCAATTACAATTGACATTCAGTATTATTTTATATTTGTTTCAGGTGTACAGCATAATGGTTAGACATATATAAAATTTATGAAGCGACCTCCCCTGATTGGTCTAGTACCCACCAGACAGTATACATAATTATTATAATATTATTGACTATATTCTCTATGCTGTACTTTATATCCCCTTGACTATTTCATAACTACCAACTTGTACTTCTTAATCCCTTCACCTTTTTCACCCATCATCCCCACCCCCTTCCCATCTGGCAACCATTAGTTTGTTCTCTGTGTCTATGAGTCTGTTTCTGTTTTGTTTGTTTATTTTGTTCTTTCGATTCCACATATATGTAAATAAGATCATATGGTGTTAGTATTTCTCTGTTAAATTTATTTCACTTAACACAATACCTTCCAGGACCATCCATGTTGTCACAAATGGTAAAAGTTCATTCTTTTCTATGGCCAAGTGATATTCCTTGTATATATGTATCACCTCTTCTTTATCCAATTGTCTATTGATGGGCACTTAGGTTGCTGCCATATCTTGGCTATTGTAAATAATGCTACAATGAACATAGGGGTGCATATATCTTTCTGAATTAGTGTTTTAGATTTCTTTGGATAAATACCCAGAAGTGGGATTGCTGGGTCATAAGTAAGTTCTATTTTTAGTTTTTTTAGGAACCTCCATACTGTTTTCCATAATGGCCGCACCAATTTGCAATCCCACCAACAGTGCACGAAGGTTTCTCTTTCTCCACATCCTCGCCAATACTCGTTGCTTGTTGATTTATTGATGACAGCTATTCTGACAGGTGGGAGGTGATATCTCATTGTGGTTTTAATTTGCATTTCTCTGATGACTAGTGACATGATGTTGAGCATTTTTTCATATGTCTGTTGGCCATCTCTACGTTCTTTTTGGAGAAATGGCTATTCAGGTTCTCTGCCCATTTTCAAATTGAATTGTTAGTTTTCTGGTATTGAGTTGTGTAAGTTCTTTATAAATTTTGGATATTAGCCCCTTATCAGATATTTCATTGGTGAATATATCCTCCCATCATTTTAGTAAGTTATTCATGAATGTCAGGAGTAAGATACAAAAATTTATAGTGCTTTCAGTTCATAAAGCATCTACTATGCTTCATATCTATGTGATATGAAGTCTTTGCCTCAGGAGATCTTACAAATTCTCTTTGTAAGATCAACAGTCCAACAAAAAATGATGCTAGCCACATATATATTTTTTTAAACTTAATTTTAAGATAATTGTAGATGCACATGAAGTTGTAAGAAATAATACAAAGAGATCCCATAGACCCTTTATCCATCTTCCCCACATGGCAGCATCTTGCAAAACCCTAATGCAATATCACAACCAGGATACTGACATTGATGCAGTCAAGATTAAAAACATTTCTATCACTGCAAAGATCAATCATGTCGTCCTTTTGCAGCCAAGACCACTTCTCTCCTGCCCCCACCCCCGTCTTTAACCCTGGCTGGCAACTACCTATGTCGCCTCCATTTCTGTATTTTTGTCATTTCAAGAATGTTAAGTAAATGGAATCATACAATGTCTAACTTTTGGTGATTTCCTCTTTTTTCAGTTAGCTTAACTCTATAGAGATTCATCTGCACATATCAGTAGTTTGTTCCTGTTTATTGCTTAATGGTATTCCATGGTATGGATATATCACAGTTTAACTATTCACTCCTTGAAAGACATCTGGATTTTTCCCTTCCTTCTTCCCTCCCTCCCTTTCTCTCAGTTTTTGGCTATTATGAAAGCTGCTAAAACATTTATATACAAGTTTTTGTGTAAAGATGTTTTATTTCTCTTTGATAAATGCCCAAAAGTAGAGTTGGTGGGCTAGGGGTCTAAAATATTTGCTGATAACAATTTCAGTAAACTTAATAGGGAAATATGACTGGCACAGCCATGCAACTAAAAAAGGATGAAGAATCTCACCAGAGATTAGCACTATATAGTGAAGAACACTGGTAGACCCTGATTTTACCCCCAGAGTGAAATCTAATATTCAAGACTTCAAGGTTTCTCATTTCAACTTCTATTGTATTGAATATATACAAGCAAGATTAGATGTAGCAAAAGAACTGACAGTTTAAATAATAAAATCATGAATTTATAGGTCATAGGGAGCTTTCTTTACATTCATTCATCCTGATGTCCCTACGAGATAGCTAATAGGATTTCTGTTTCACGGAGAAAACAAAGATTCCAAAGGACTGAATAACTTGCCCAAAGTCATACAGTTTCTGATAGATCTATGGCCCCAACTCTGGTTTTATGACTCCCAGTTCTAATGTCCTTTCTGCTACTTTATCCATCACTGCCATTCTACTATCCTGATGATGATAATGATATTGACAATAAGAATAAGTTGTAGTTGTAGTTATCCCTACAACTACCCCTCTGAGATAGGGAAGTAACCTAGTAAGCCTTTGCTTGTAGGTTTCCTGGGTCCAAATCCTGGCCGTTGTACTTACTAATTGTATAACTTTGAACCCGTTTTATAAACCTCTTTTTGCCTCAGTTTTGTTATCGCTAACATGGTACTACTAATTATACCTCCTTCCAGGGTTGTTCTGAATATTGAATAAGTTAACACTAAAGCACTTGGAAAAGTATCTAAACGTAGTAGTCCTTCATATGTATTTATTGTTGTTTTATTATTATTACCCCCATTCTCTTGTGTGATCCTCATAATATCCTTCTGATATATATGCGTAGGTATTAACATTGGTTCCTAATGGTTCATGAGGCCCAATACATTTGTCTGAAAAAGATGGTTTCAGAAATACAATTTTACTTTTTAAGGCCAAGTGATTGCTGTTAATAGAGCAGTTGAGATGCTTTATAGCAGTGGTTCTCAAAGTGTGGTCCCTGAACCAACGCATCAACCTCACTGGGAACTTCTTAGAACAGCAAATTTTCAGGTGTTACCCTAGACTTACTTGATTTCCTCATCTGGAAAATGAGGATGATTAATGGTAAACTTTGTTGAGAGAATTAAATGATACAATGCATGTAATGTACTTAGTATAGTACACACAGTAAGTACCCAATAAATATGTCATGGTTACTATGCAGATTCTTACCTATAGCCATACTTCTTTTGCTTTTTTATCATTATAATTTCCTCATCTTATTTCTTTTTGATGGAACCTATTTGTTATGGCATCCTGGACTTAACGGACCTCCTAATTCATATACAATTGACCCTTGAACAATGTGGGTTTGAACTGGGTGTGTCCACTTGTATGATGCGAATTCTTTACAAAAAATACTGTAAATATATCTTCTTTTCCTTATGATTTTCTTAAAACATTTTCTTTTCTCTAGCTTCCTTTATTGTAAGAATATAGTATGTATAATACATATGACATAAAAAATATGTTTTAATCCCCTGTTTATATTATTGGTAAGGCTTAAAGCCAATAGTAGTCTATTAGTTGGTAAGTTTTGGGGGAGTCAAAAGTTACACTTGGATTTTCAACTGTGCCGGTGGTCGGCGCCCCAACTTCTGCGTTGTTCAAGGGTCAGCTGTATAAAGTTTAAGAAGTTCCATGAGTTTTGCTTTTTTTTTTTTTTTCAAAATGTCTCTACTTTTTTTGTTTTTAGACAGCTTTTAAAACATTTATTTTTTTCTCTACAGGATGAATCCATTCCACTTCATAGATAAAGTTTCTTTCTTAGATTTACGGTTTAGCACCAAACTTAATAATGATACAGAGAGGCCTTGAGTCCTTGTAGCCTTTTTTTTTTTTTAAACCAGGAACAGACTGCTTGCTGAGTGTTATACAACTGCTAAAAGAAGAAGTGAAAATAAAACATGAGTGTTTTGTCAGTAGTTCTCATGTGGAAGAGGAGTTCTTAGAACAAAAGCATCAACACAGTCTTTTAAAGAAATTATGCAGAGGAATTTTCAATTTAAAAAGCTGATTTTAATATCCAGAGCAAATGAAAATATTTCATGTGTCATTTTGGGTGTTGAGGGAAAATTTTACTAATGCCTTGGTGAAAATATTAAAATATGACAATTGGATTTTCTGTTGATGATGATCTAGCAAACTGCTCTCTTTTCTTCTCTTCCCCTCTCTTCATCTTCCTTCTTCTTCCTTTTTTCCTAGCTCTTATCAGCAAAAAGCGGTGTTCCCAGATTTCCCAGGATAGCAGTTTACCTGTTGTGTTCCACGTCTCACTGTCATCCAAGATCTGTTTAGAAAATGGTAAGATCCCTTAACCCACCCAAATCAGAGTTGACTTTGATAAGCAACCAAAGTGAGAATCACTTCCATTCCTTGCATTTGGAACATTTCTCCCTGTCATCCTCTTACATAGCTGCAATCAGAGCCAGACATTTAGGTTCAATGGATTCCAAGTCAAACTTTTCAAAGTTATCCCCCTCTAACCCAGCTCTTCCTGGTTTCTCCACGCTTGTACCCTGGGAGATTTTTCTTCATGGTTTAGAGAAACCAGCTTGGATAACAATGACATGCATGTCCCTAGAAGATCACCCTAGGGCCTATCACAAAAACATACCACCTGGACTGAGAACCAAGGCTTCTGTGTTAAAAAGCAAAAATAGATTATTTAATTGTTTGCATGTTATAAGGGAGAAATCCCAGGGAAGATCATGATTGCACAAATCTAGAAAGAATGCTGTCTATCCATAAAGGAGGTTAAAAGAGGGAGAAGGTATGGATTGTTAGGAAAAGGGAAACTTCTCATTCCTTGGGACACAACATAATATAGCTAACTGGTGCATGACTCAAAGAATGAGCAGGAGTTGGGCCTGACTGCCACAGGTCTCGTATATTTGCTTTTCATGACCTTTTCATCATAGTTCTAACAACCTTAAAAACTATTGAAAGATTCTGCTTCTAGAGAATGTGCTTGTGGGTCAAGTGTTCCTTCTATTTCTCCCTGTTCCCTGCATAGTCTGCTGAATTTAATGTATTGAGGGATCAAAATTTAGGATTGGAACTGGCTCACTAGGGTGTAACAGATAGTGAGGAAATAAACCCAGATACATATGCTAAGAACAAGCTCAGTAAATATGGCAAAACAACAAATAGGAATAAAGTAAATCATAAGGTAACAAGAAAGCTCAGCATGAACGTGTCCCAGAATCCAAATAAGTGGGTCAAGTCCAGTGACAGGAAATCCCTCAGCAAACAATTGAATGGCAAACAGGTGGTCAGCCCACTAGATAGTCTGTGAGCAAGGAGCAAGGCCTTGGTCACTGAAGGGCAGGACTGAAATCCCAAGCTGGGAGGTTGGAGCCAATTCAAACATTATCTAATCCTAAGTAAACTGAGATGGAGTTTGTTTAGTCCTTCCACTCTAAGGTTAGGATGGTTCTCATGATCCAATAGGGATGAACCTGCATGTGATTATGTTAGTAAGGAATCTTTCAACAGTAAGCAACAACTCACAGTAGCTTAAGCAACAAAAATAATTAGTTGCTCATATCCTGGAAGGTAGCTCACAAGATTCAAGGAAAACCTGCAGGAACAATGTACCAGGCACAATGTGGGACTAACCATGGCAGGGACTTTTATCTTCCCATTTCTGCTTGTCTGAATTCTACAGTTAGTCTCACGCCACGTGGTGAAGATGGCCACTGCCAGCCCTAGATTCACCTGCTCCCTGCTTAGGAAGAAAGTGCTTTCACCTGCCCCCACCAATGTCCATGTGTCAGTCCCAGGTAATGACTCTGATTGGCTCTATTTGAATCAAGTGCCCACCCTGTGGTCTAATCATGGTTGCCTGGGAGATGGAGTAATATTATTGGTCAAACCTGGGTCACTGGCTCACAGGTGGAAAGGAAATATAATTGTCAGCCCAACTTGAGTCACATGGGATAGGAGTGGGATGATACATCAAAGGAGGGGAGGTCAAGCAGTTCCATAGTTTTGGGAGAGAAGGTAAAGCCTGTCCTTAACCTATGGCTAGGAATGGGAATGGAGGTGATGAAAAAAATGGAGAGAAGCCACAATGCCCTGATTCAAAGTTTCACCTGGAGCCATGGCCAAATAAAGAGCTCATGGCTAAGGCAAACCTGGAAATAGAGTAAACAATATACACATTCTCATAACAACTAATGTTTTAAAACACTTATGCATAGGGAAAAAATTCTGGAAGGAGCTACACCAAAATGGCAACAGTGCTTGTGTGGTAAGATTCCATGTCCCCCTTCCCCTCTTTCATATCTTTATTTTTCAAATTTTCTTCTGTATGTAATTTACTGGTTTGTTAAATGGACTAGACTTGGGAGGATGGAATAAAGAAATGGTCCTCGAAGCCATCTGTGAACCTTTCCATATGTTCACTACAAGGATAGAATTTTACAAGGGAAGAATGATAGAATTGAGAGGCCTTAGAGATGATCTCATTCAGTTCTGTCATTTTGTAGATGAGAAACCTGAAGCACAGAGATGCTGAGTATCCAAACTGGTTAGTGGGAGACTCAGGAACAGGACCCAAGTCTATTGACTGCTGAGAACATGTTTGCTCTGGTAGACAGAATTCTGTCCCAAGACTGGGGGATGGTGAAGAATGTTCAGGGATTCTTAAAAGGCCTCTAATACTTCAAATGTCATCATAGGGGTTTAATTCCTTGGGACTTAATTCCTTGGGGTTAAAAATTTGATCGCATTTCAGAGCAAATCTCCTTAAGGAGAGGTAATTAATTCTTAAGCTGATAATTACTTTGGTTTGAATATGAATGGATTTTGTTTCCTTTTTCAAGTACATTTTGGTAGACTGATGGTTGGGCAGGATTTACCCAGTGAGTACTGACTCAGTGTAAATTTTGAAATATCACTTTTGTATTGATATGTGTGTCTTTTTTTTTTTTTAAGGTTGGATCTTTCAACATCCTTATTCAAAATTGGAAATTCTGAAATGGGAGACAGTCCTCAGTATTGCTGTGAAGAAACTACAGGGAGCCATGATTCAAATGTAGGGAGTCCTCTTCAGTCTTCAGAATCATATACTGTTATGAGGCATATGATACGGTAGATACTCAAGAAGAGATGCAGAGCCTATAGGACCCTGAACTCGTCACCCTATCCCCCTTGCCTATTGTATCTGTAATATGAAAAAATTCATACACATACAAACCCTTCTTTTCCAGGTAACTCATGGAAAAGTCACTCTGTGATACATGACTTATCAGTCAATCAGCCTTGTCATATGACCAGTCCAGGATCATGTGTGACAATGCTGGGGAGGAGGAGGGAAAAAAGAAGTAGTCAAGGAAAGAAGAGCCAGCTGTAAGCAAAGTACTGTTCTAAGGAAACATAAAACCAGTCCTTGGGTTCAAGGAACTTGTCACCTAAAATGGTAAACTAAACATCTCAGCAAGTTAACAATCAACAGAGGACAGATCAAACACTTAGGAGGTGATAACAACAATAGCACTAAGCAAGTAAAAAGTATTTTTCATAATAACACAGTACCCTCAGAGGTAGTTTCCTGAAACAAATGGGTTTAGAACCAAGGAGAGATGACTTGGCAGAGTAGATGGGAGATGAGAATTTAGCTGGCACACAGCAACAGGGTGAGTAAGGCGTTATTATACATGACCCATAGTAATAAACTGTGTCAGGGGAGTGGTTCTTTTTAACAATGAGAATTGCTAAAGTTGGTAGAATTAGTTCCCAAGGGATTTGTCATATACAGAATCCCAGCTTTAATAAGAGCACAGGTAATTTTTCAATATGTGCATTATAAAACATTTCTGTAAGAATAGCAGCCAAATCTTAACATCCCCTGGTTACCGGGCATAGAAATACCATGGAGATTAAATGAATGCTTGTTAGATGAAATGCAATTTTAGGCAAATCAGAATTATCAGCCTTTTTAACCTACCGAATTTCTACCACACTTGCTAAACGCATAATATTATAGAAGTTTAATATCAAGTTAGACCCAAGGAAATTTAGGGAAGGAAGAAAGAATCCTTTGTAACCCCAGTGGCAGGTCCATGGTCTAGATTTTAGATTTATCACAGGAAGTCTCATCTGACAGATGTAGTGAACCCTCCCCTCCTAGACCAGATCCCAAGGCACTCCTCAGAACACAGAACAGCACATTCTCTTTTTTTTAGCTGAGCCATCCTGCCACCTGTTGGCAGCTCAGCTCAGGCCGGGCATCGAACCGGCGACCCTGTTGCTCAGACCTTGTACTCTTGAGAGAGTTCTTAACCAACTGAGCCACTCGGTTGGCCCCACAGCATATTCTCCAGACTGTTCACCTAACCTTTTGTTTGAGTTTGAATCAGATCTCTGGGCCAGAGCTGGTGAGGCTCTAGAGCAGCGGTTCTCAACCTGTGGGTTGCGACCCCTTTGGCGGTCGAACAACCCTTTCACAGGGGTCGCCTAAGACCATCTGAAAACAAAAAGATATTTACATTACGATTCCTAACAGTAGCAAAATTATAGAGTAGCAACAAAAATAATTTTATGGTTGGGGGTCACCACAACATGAGGAACTGTATTAAGGGGTCGCAGCATTAGGAAGGTTGAGAACCGCTGCTCTAGAGTCCTCTGATTCTACTCATATTCTATATAGACCATAGTGGTGCAAAAGCACTAGCCTGGAAATCCCAGGCTTGCTTCTAATTCTACCCCTGACCCTGCCATTCCTTAGCTGTGTGACCAGAGGTACAAGGGTCAGTGTCATGTAAATGTTTAGAGCCCAAGCTTTGGAGTTCACACAACTCTCATGCTCCCATTTGCCAACCATGGGATTTGGGGCATTCACGCCGCTTCTCAAACCTAACTTTCCTCATGTAAAATGGGGACCCTACTAGTATCTATCACATAAATTGTTGAAAACATTAAATGAAATAATGCAGCTAAACAGCTTAGCACAATCTGTAGAATACTATAGTAAATGCTCAATAAACAGTAACTATTATTTAGCAATTATTGTTCCCTTTTCTGTACTTTGGCTCCTTCATCTGTAAAATGGTATTAGATATTCTACAAGCATCCTTCTGTCCCTACAGTCAGTGGATATCCCCACCATAAGGAATTTAGTTTAGAACTAGATTCTTAGGCCTATTTTACTTGAGATGATTTGAGGTATAGTTCCCTTTCTATTCCAGCCTCTGTCTTAGAGTGTTCTGGATACCAGAGGGCTGGCATAATTGGGTAACTTCTGACTTAGAGAAGGACTGTGTCCTTAAGTCCTGGCAATAACTTTTCCTGGAAATCACCACCCATGTGAAACTTTCAAGAAACCACCTTGTGCAAGTGTTAGGGCTGCTTTGTTGAACTAATCAACTTGGTGATAATCATCACTGCTTGGAGAAATCAGAGGTCAACTTCTGGTCCTTAAGCAAGAGGGGAGTAAGACCACCGTCACTGCCAACACTTTGAGAAAAGGCAGAGAAGAGGCAGTCTTTGTTGGCATGGGAGGCTGATTAGTCTTAAAACAATGACTAAATTGTTTTAGGGACCTGTTAAAGGGGTTAAAAAAGGAAACACTGCATTTAAAAGGGTAATGGAGAATTTTCCTGAATCATAGCTATCTACTCTGACTATTTAAGTAATGTGGCATTTATATAATGTAAGAGATTTTGCAATGGAGTTTTTTGCACTGGAGCTTTTGTATCTTAATTTTTGGACTTATTGGTAAAGAGGTGGAGTGTACCTTTTTTCTCCCATTGATTATAGGAATTTACATTTTAGAGGCATACTTAACCTTTCTTTTAAGAATAATCCAAAAGGTCCATTTGTGGAAAGTCACAGAAAAATAGAATCATGTCTAGGCATTGAATGAAAGGGCCAAGGTTTAGGCTTGGAGAATGGTAATTAGACTAGCATTTCCAGTTGGTTTATAAATAAGTGTTGTTAAGCTGATATTCTGCTAGCCTTTGATGCTTATAAATGGAGAGGCGTGCATGTGTTTTGGTGTGGGGGAAGAGTGACAATCTATAAATGTGTTGTTTTTGTCACATTGTTCAAAAATTTTGCCCACTCGCCTCATTTTTGACAGTGGGATACATTTTCATGGACTATGAGAAAGAAAGGAAGGAGCAACAGGAGGAGGAAAAACAAGAAAAGAGACAAAGGGGAAGAGAGAGAAAGCTGTTGTTAATCAAGCATTTCCATTTTCCAGCCACAAGAGTCAAATTTGGCCCTTGCCCACCCTCCTGGCTCTGGTTCCTTACCCCACAAGATTCACTGAGAATGGCCCCCTCCTGCTTCTCTGAGAGGGGCCAGTGATGCTTGAAGATTGCTAGGGACTCCCCCACCCAGCAGTCCCCAATGGTGTGGCTATTATATCTCGCCCACCTTTCTTCAATCAGCTGTACTTTTTCCAATTACTTTTTTTTTGTAACCCCTTCCTATTACCCGATTACATTCCCGATTACCTTTCCTTGCTTTATTTTTATTTATTTATTTATTTAGTTTTAATTGGGAAATTAGGGGAGGGGAACAGACAAGTTGCTGTCCTTTTGTTCTTCAGTCTAGTTGTGGAGGACGTTGCTTCACTGGCCCAAGTTGGCACCATCATTGCGCTCTTCCCAGGTGAGGCAGATCAGTCACCAGCTTCTGGATGGCAGCTCACGCTGGCTGCTGGCTACACACGGTAGCCCATGGCAACCCACTGCCACAGGGGCTGCAGCCTACGCCGTCACCAGCGACTCATGGCAGCCCAGCTCCAGGTTGAGCTGTTGTTCAGCATCTTAGCTGTGGAGGGCAGTGTCACTGGCCCTCATATGTGGGATCCGAACCGGGGCCCTCTGGCATCCCAAGCCAGCTCTTAACCAACGCGCCACTCGGCCGGCCCCCAATTCCTTATTTTTAATCCTTTAAAAATTTACCTTTCAGCACGGCTCTTCCCACACCCCAAATCCTGCACTCAACCACTAAATGCATATACACGTGCACACACACACACGCACACACAAACACACACACACACACACACACTCCCCACATCTTCCAAATACTCCAAGACCTTCCTTGAGATATGCCAGCTAAATTTTAGGAATTCTCAAGTGCACCTTAAAATGAAAACCATTGAGGATTCCTGTTTGAATCTGCTCTGAATCGGAAGGGACTTGCTGAGGTCAGCCTTAGACATTCTTTCTTGGTGTTGCTGACATGCTTGCTTGCTTGTTTGTTCGAAGTCTCTCTCTGTGTCCCTGTTGGGAATGCCCAAACTGCTAACTCTTCTCCGAGAAGGTGGCTCCTGCTTCCCCTCATTAGAGTCCTGACACTTCTGATGATTCTCAAATGTTGGTGGTCGTGGATCTGCCCAATTCCAGGCCCACATTCTGCCTTAATAACCAAGGAGCGCAGCTGCCCCGCTTTGGTAGCTGGAATCACTGAGTAAAAATAAGCCAGCAGCCCAGGCAGATATTAAGCAGGTGATGTTGGTCTCCAAGAGAGCTAAGACTGTCTTTTTAGTATATGACCTCTGCTTTGCCAGCCTGACCCTGGAGGCTCCTGATGGCAAGTGCTAGATTTCACTTGGCATCCTCGGGTACATAAGTGTGTGCACATGTGTGTGTGTGTTGGGGGTGGGAAGCTGGGTAACAGCCAGGAAGGTCGGCTTCATGGCTGACTCTCAGCTACAGAAATCTGGTGGGTCTGCATTTTACACTATGCCCACAGCTCCTGTAGCACCTAGCACTAGGAATGTGGGGAGCAGTAGTGTGAAGTGGAGAGAGTAGAGAGTTTGGGGTGGATATGCATGACATTGAAGCCTGGCTTTGCCATGCAGCTGCATAACTCTTTAGGATGGAAATAGATAGCACCTTTCTTATGAGTTTTGTGCAAGACACCTAGTGAATATTTGTGAATGGTTAAATGAATGTTCTAAGAGACTACCTTAATTTCAGGCCCTCAGTCTAAACCCTAGAAGCTTGGTTGTTTCATACTCACCTACCCTCCCCCTTTACTCCCCTATTATTAATGAATATGTGGGTGTGTGCTCCCCTACCAAAATGTAATGAAAACAACTAGCATTTATAGAGTGCATGCTAAATACTGGGGTCCATGTCCCAAGGTCTGTGTGCATTAACTAGAGATGCCTTACATTTCTGTGAGGCATTGTTATCCCCATTTTACAGATAAACAAACCAAGGCTCAGAGGAGTTTACTACTTGGACTACTTTCTACAGTCCCAAGTGGTAGTGCCAGGATTCATATCAGTTCTCATCCAAAGCCTGTGTTGTGTCATGCTGTTCCTGTGGGGACAGGGCCTACTTATTATTCCTGCAGTCCTGCAGCCCCGGGAACAGTGCTTCACACACCATAAGTGCTCAATAACTATTTTTAAAAGGCAGGCACCAATAAGTGCTGGGCTAAGGATTTCAAAATCCAGCTGTCCTGATTTAAAGGAAGCCCACTAGATAGGTGGTAAAGGAGAGGTTACATGAGACCTGAAAAGCCATTTGTGCTCCTGTAGTCCTTGATAAGACCAGGAAATTATCCAAGTCTTCAATTCTTTTCTTTTGAACAGAAAAACAGAAAAAGTGAACCTAAAAAAAGAGGGATTCAACAAACGACTTCTGCGTCACTATAATGATCCCAAAGAGGAGGTGAGGTAGGCCACAGTCCCCAAGGTCCCCCATGTTTCTGGCTGGAGCTGCTGAAGAGGAAGCCTCAGATGCCAGCAGTCAAACAGGCTGACCCAGAGATGAAAAAGTTCCATTATGCCCTGATAGATACGTTCCTCTGTGATCTAATATCCTTGTGAAATTCCAAAGGGAAAGAAGAATGGAGGGAGCCAGTTATGATGGAAGAGGCTGACAGGTGGGGCGGGGCAGGAGAAGTCAACCTGAGAAAGAGATTGAGACATTCTCCCACTTATAAACATTACTTTTTTTTAAAGGGAACCTCTGCTTATAGCCGATATTTTTGTTAAGCACCTGAGGACTCATGTGGTTCAGAGAAAATGAGTTTTCCTTGATTCACTTTTCCTGACAGTAGAGAGAACCAGATGGGGCGTTAGCATCTAAAGAATCTAGTTTAGAGAGAAGAAAGATTTTGTAATAAATTCCCATAAATCCAAAATGAAAAAGACCTCAAGAGTCCATTATAGTTTGTGGAGATTGGTACAGCGAGGTTTTGTGAAATTCTTCACATATCTGTACTTACCTCTTAGCCCTCCTTTGCCCCTATCTGTCCATAGACATTGGTGGGGAGACCCAGTCCTCCTGCAGTGTACCGGAATGACATCCTCCATCAATGCTGAGTATCAACAGGCGATTTTGGTGTCCAGTGACTCACCATTAACAGGATCAGTCTGACCAGACTCCCCTGTTATTATTCACCTGATTGGTTTCAAAGAATTTGGGGCTAAAATGAGGGTGCAGGTAATGTGAACGTATGGGAAGAACATGCAACTGAGAGTCAGGGAACCCATGTGCTGGCCTGGCACTATCATGGTTGTGCTCAGTGATGATGGGAAGTTGACTCTCTGGACTTCCGTTGCATTATCTGTAAAGAGCTGGTTAAAATAATTAAATAGACTGCAAGTTAACGGCATTTTATATAAGAATTATTAACTTCATTGTTTTTATCAGTATCAATTCCTTAACCTTTATTTTATTGATCCTTCTGGCTATCTAGCTGTCTGCAAAGCTGTTCTGCCCTCCCTTAGGGTGGTGTGTACACCAACATATCCAGTGACTTGCCAAATCAAGTTATCCTTGGGACCTTTACACCTTTTGGATGTGGTAGCATTTCTTTTCCTAATGGGTACGTGAGATTCCAGACAAACTAGAATTTATGGGTAAGCTAAGAAGTGAAGGAAGAGCTAAATCCTGACAAAGGGAAGGATGGGAAAGCAATCTTAAATGGTCAATCTAATTGGGAAATCAGGTAAGGAAAATGAAACATACATGTATGTGTTCATGACTATTCCATGTACAGACTTGCAAACCAGAACAGGCAAAAAAGCCATGGGTCTCAAAGAACCCAATTGTGCCATCCATAAGGGACCTATATGAAGGCAAGGCCCCAAGGATGCACAAGGTGGGAACTGAAACAGGGAGACTGCTATTAAGATGAGTCAGATGTTCACTGGGCCTACTACCTGACCCTTTAAGAACTAGATACACTGGCAGGACCCCTATTTCACAACCCATGAAAAGTCTCCTGTCCTTCTAAACATTGCTAAGATCTTAGGGTTTATAAGCTCATGGTCTCCTCTAGCTTTGACATCCCACCTCCTCTGAATCTTGTTCTCCACTCCGTGTCTTGTGTCTGTGGGTTTATTTTGGCTATCTCTTGATTTGAGCCACCTGGGGAATTTCCTCCTTTTCCTGATTTTCACGAAATTTAAAAACTGTTCATCAGAGGTCTCTGTGAGAGTAGCAGAATTTTTTTCTGGTTGGAGCCACGTAACTTGGTTTGAGTTACATAACATTCCCATTAAGCATGACAAGTACATGAACAATGTAAATACTTGGAAATTATATTTATATTATATTACGTATAAACAGTGAAGAACACACAGCAGTCTACATAATGTTATATAGTCATTTAACAAGGAGTATATAGGTATCACTTTTATAATTGAAAAAACAAATATTATTTTAAAAATTCATACATATACATTGTATTTACCCAATAGTGTGGTTGTGAGAAGTAAATAAGAAAAATTACCATGGAAGTTTTTAGTGTTTTCTAAGATAGATAAATAGGATAAGATATAGATAGATAAGTTTTGGAGGGGATGGAGATGTTTACGGCATAGCATGTAGTGATGGTTTTACAGATGTATACGTATCTCCAAACTCATCAAGTTGTATACATTAAATATGTACAGATTTTTGTGTGTCAGTCATAACTCAATAAAGTGACTTTTTGAAAAAGATAAAGATAGATGATAGAGAGAGAGGAAGGAAGGAGAAGGAAGAAAAAGGAAGGAAAGGAAAGAAAGAAACAGAGTAAGAGAAAGACATGGAGATAGATGAGTAGATAAAGAGTTGAAAACTTCCTACGAAGCAGTGGTGCTGAGTGGCAGGAAAGGGGGCAGAGGCTATGTGGGGTGGGGAATTTTGAGAATCCCTGAGTGTAATGGGAAATGCATACAGGCTTAGAATGTATGCACTTGTGACAATGTACAGGCAGGAGCAGATTGAGAGATACTGTCACAGGGAGCATGAGGACTGGGTTTTAAAGGACTACTGCTCTTTACTGCTTTAGGGAACATCCCACAGCATAAATATTTCTTTGTAAAGTCAGAGATTATTCAGTGTAGAGATATAACACTTCCCAAGAATGGGGACTGACCAGGAAGACCTATCCTGTTCTCTGTAATACCAGTGATTTCTCGTCAACCTTGGGAATTGCTCATGAAGATCTTAACCTCAACCTCTTAACCCAGTGCATTCCCTGAACCTAACCCATGCTTGATCTAAAGTTCTTGATTTCCACCATATCCCATAGCCTCCCCCAATTCCAGTCCCATCTCATACCTCAGAAGCCCAGGAAGAGAATGGTTAGGGGTGGAATTATGTGTCAGTGAGGGTCAGGGGGAAGGTCAAAAGTAGGCTGAAGGAATCAGGTGAGAATGTCAAAGTGTCTACAGCCAACCAAGCAGAGCCTGGAGGTTCCTTCAAGACCACCTGTTAGTTTTCTAAGGCTGCCATTACAAACTACCATAAATTGGGTGGCTTAAGACAACAGAAATTTATTATCTCATAGTTCAGAAGGCCAGAAGTCAGAAATCAAGGCGTTGGCAGAGTTGATTCCTTCTGGAATCTCTGTGGGAGTATCCATTCTATGCCACTCTCCTAGCTTCTGGTGGTTGCCAATAATCCCTGGTGTTCCTTGGCTTGTAGACACATCACTCCAATCTCTGCCTCCATCTTCATTCACATTGTCACCTTCTCTGTGTGTCTCTTCGTGACCTCTCCTCTTATAAGTACACCAGTCATTGGATTTAGGGCCGAACCTAAATCTAGGATGATTTCATCTTGAAATCCTTAACTAATTACATCTGCAAAGGCCCTATTTGCAAATATGGTCATATTCTGAGGTTCAAGGTGGACATGGATTAGAGGAAGGACACTGTGCAACTCACTATAATTACTATTCCTCTGTTTTAACCCTTCTTTGTGATATTACTTACCTTCATACCTCTTCCTGCTCCCCTTCCATGTGCTCAATTTCAATTTAGGTGGTGACTCATATTTAAAGCACCTTAGAGGAAAATTTGAACCAAAGACACGTTGAAAATATAAATGCAACACATAAAAAAAGCATGAAAAACATTTTCTGGCCCTTGGAGCTTTAGGGAGAGATGGACATTGTAACTGATTCATAAGGCAGCCTCTCATTGAATTAAACCACCATGTGGATAAACTTATCCTCTAGATTTGCTGAATGTGAATATTTTGAATGAACCCCAATCACATATCTCCCCATATTCTATATTTTTACTTCTCTTGATTCCAAGACCATGGGAATTTAGAGTAAGGTCATCCAAAGAGCAAGGAACACCGCCCCGCCCCCCCGCCCCCCCCGCTGTTTTTTAAAAACCAGTTCCTGGGCCTGCCGAGTGGCGCGTTGGTTAAGAGTTGGCTTGGGACGCCAGCTCTGAGCAGCAGGGCCCCAGTTCGTATCCCACATGAGGGCCAGTGATGCTGCGCCCTCTACAGCTAAGACGGTGAACAACAGCTTGACCTGGAGCTGGGCTGCCATGAGTCACCGGTGATGGTGTAGGCTGCAGTGGAGCTGCAGTGGGCTCCCATAAGCTACCATGAGGGACTGGCAGCCGGCATGAGCTGCCAAGAGCCGCCATGAGTGGCCGTCCAGTGGCCGTCGACCGATCTGCCTCACCCGAGAAGAGCGCAATGATAATACCAACATGGGCCAATGAAGTGACGTCCTCCACAACTAGACTGAAGAACAAAAAAGGACAGCAACTTGTCTGTTCCTCTTCCCCGATTCCCCAACGCTGTTCCCCTCCCCCAGTTCCCCAATTAAAAAACAAAAAACAAACAAACAAAACAGTTCCTAAATATGTTTTTGTGTGTATCTGCCATGTTTAGCATTTCTGGTGAAGCCCATTCTCACTGTTTCCCTTTGTTGGCTGTTTTTATGATCCAAATCACCTGTCAAAATGTGTCAGCAGCTTGCCAGCTAAGAGAATGCAGGTCAGCAAAAAGCTAAAAGAACTAAAAGACTAATGCTTGATCCTCAAGATTCAAACAGAGACAGATTAATGGGGACAGCAGAGTGCCTCGGTGCGTGGCATGTAAACACCTGCCCTTGAAGTGGAAGAGCCTTTCCCAACTTTGATGTTGAGATGAAAAGAAGATGACCGAATCTGGAAGCATTTCAAAGGTTGAGAAAGAGCACACTTTCCTCTCCTAACCCTAGTAGTTCAGCAGTTTCGAAAGGTAGGTTCAGAAACACTGTGTAATTCTATGCCATTTTAACTTGAGCGTCTTGTTCTGTGACACTACAGACAAGTTAGTGTCAAAAGTAACAATTGCTTTTATGAAGAACAAATATACTTTTACTTGATTTTCCAGGTATTGCTAAAGCTAGGTTCTTTGGAAACTATTTCTGGTGAACTTGCTTAAAACATCTACCCTTACTAATCGCTAATATGTATCACTGTAAGCCAAGAGAGCACTTTTTCATGTTACTTAACTTTCCCAGGAACGCTATGTTTAGTTGTAATCCCCAACTGAAGAAACTGAGGCTCAAAGAAGACGTATACCTTTTCTAAGGCCACATGATAGAGAAAAACATTGAAGTCAGTTTCAGACTCTAATTACTGTGGGATTTTTTTTTTCTTTTCTTCTCTTTCCAACCTTTAACACCTTGAGAGAAAGAGAGGTCTGGAGCTGAGTACATACTATGTGAATAATTATCAGAATAGTTGTTACAATAATGATGTAATGATGATGATGATGATGGTGTAGTTATGAGCATGGGCTTTGGGGTTCAAGGTATCTGGCAGCTCCATGTATGTTGGAGCAACAGGGCAACTGGGCCATGTGTCTCCAGTATCTAGCAGGCTCACTCAGGCTTCTTCACATGGTGGCTGGGTTCTTAAAGCAACAAGAGACAATAAATCCCAGTGCATAAGCACTTTTAGAGCCTCCTCTAGCATCATGTTTGCTAATGACTTATTGATCAAAACAAGTCACACGGCCAAACCTAGATTTAGGGCATGGAGAAATAGATTCCTACTCTTCTTGGGATAGGCTGCAAAATATTGCAGCCATTTTTTGCATTTGATAAGGCAACACCTGACACTAAATTATTACTTCTCTCTCTCCCTCTCAACTGCCTCCAATTCTATTTTGATCAATCATGCATAGTAGAATTTGAGAAGTGTAAATATATATAAGATGAAGAAGGATCATTCCAGTTTTAGTCTGTTAACCACTGATGCCTCCTCTTAAGGGTGTTCATGAGAACTTGTTAGGCTTGATTGTCTTCTTTCTCCTGGTTTTGGTCCAGATATTCTTACAGTCTCACCTGGAATTCTGTGTCATCCTCTGAGTCTTTTCTACATCCTGTGTTGGTCCAGCCTGGATTGTTCACTCCCTTTTATCTTAGGTCTCAGGTACGTCACCTACAACTGCTCACAAAGTTCAGACTCTATGAAGTCTGTATTTATATTGCTTTAGTGATTTCTGTCCCTGTTTGGTATTCTATATGATCCCACATGTCCTGTACTTTCTGCAGATGTGAATTCTTCATGTGCTTATTAAAATGTCTGTAAATATCTCCTAGAAATTAATCCTTATGATATGATAATTTACTGGACTTCCTCAGTTATAGGCCAAGTGCTTTAAAGACTTTTTCCTTTGAAAACTTGATGATGCTTCTTTTCTTCACAATAAAGTGTTTTTTTTGCAGCTATAGCTGCAAATATTTGGAATTAACAGATCTCCACTTGCTGCCTTATCCTTGGGTTTCACTATTAAATATTTCACACCAACTTCCACATGAATTGTACTGCCCAATGAGAGTGTGTGTCAAAATAGAACTTGGTGACTTAGAGAGTTTCAGAAGACACCTCCTGCTCAGGCCCCTTCCCAACATCATCTATGACTCACCCCCTTGTTTACTGGCCTTCTGCCTCTCTTCATGTCCTTTGTACATGTTGTTCCTTGTGACTGAAAGCTTGTGTCCCAAGTCTTTATACATGACTGCCTTCCCCTTATCTTTCAGGTCTCAGTTTAAATGTCACCTCCTAGGAGACACCTTTTGTTTTGTTTTGTTTTATTTATTTATTTTTATTCTATTTTATTTTTATTGTGGAATTGGGGGAGGGGAACAGCATTGGGGAATCAGGGAAGGGGAACAGACAAGTTGCTGTCCTTTTGTTCTTCAGTCTAGTTGTGAGGACGACGTTGCTTCACTGGCCCAAGTTGGCACCATCATTGCGCTCTTCCCGGGTGAGGCAGATTAGTCACTGGCTTCTGGATGGCCGCTCATAGTAGCTCATGCCAGCTGCCAGCCACTCACGCTGGCTGCCAGCCACTCACAATAGCTCACGGCAGCCCACTGCAGAAGGGGCTGCAGCCTACACCAACACCAGCGACTCACAGAAGCCCAGCTCCA